GTAGTAAATGGACTGACAATGTTGGTAGGATTGTTAAACAAAGACCACGCACCATATGTCTTCCAGGTGGTGGTTTTGAGCATGCCTTCAGCAACATTTTAATCAACAGGAGCCAAGATCTTATTTACCACTTATGGTTGGTGAGATCTTTTCATAGCCTCCTTTGCGATTCTATAATTTAATTTGTCTGGCTTGCTAAATGGAATGAATTGACCGACTGTGTTCATCACGAGGATGTTTCCTGACATACGCAAGCATGTCGTCTAATTTGAGAGCGTGCAAGGCTGTAAAACAGACCTGGGTGCAGAGTGGGATCTCACCAGAAACAGGAATGCACAGTCGCAGCTTTAAAAAAGAGTAAACAGAGCTATTATTCTGCATTTTACTCACTGTTTCCAGGACGTGTATTGTGATATTAAGCCTAATGCTCCTGTTGAAGACAGTTGCAAGGGCATTTCCTGCAGACTGTTTGCTAGAAATGTAATCTCTTAAGGGGTTCGATGGACATATAAAAACGATTCTGTTGACTCTGCTTTTAATATTCCAGTCTTAGAAATGAGCCACCTGGCTGAGGACAGCTGGTAACTGTGAAGACGTCTGCATACGGTTTCACACCAAGGTGACATGAGGAAGGTCGATTTCTCTGGACCAAAGAGGAGAGCAACTCTCATCAGCCTGGCTCATGGGTGATGACTTGTTCATGTGGACAAATCCTGGCTATGTTATTCACACTGGAAGTGACATCAATCTTACTTGCATGAGCAAAACAAACAGAATGTACTGGTAGACGAGAGAAGGATTATTTGCTTTATGACTCAGGCCCAGGGTCTGCCAACTTTGGAAGAAATGGGATGGTACACAGATTTTTTTTCAATTTGAGTAAAAGCCCAGCATGGCCCAGTAGCTTCAGATGCTTAACGTCCCCTTTTATAGTCAGCTGTGTTTAACACTCAGCTCTACTTTGAAGCTGTAAAATATCTTAACACAATATGAGATATATACAAACTGATTGGGAGGTATTAAGCTATAATTTGCCTAAATTCCAAGATGGCATTTCATTAGTGACCATGTTTCTGCAGACTGTAGGCACAAGTGGGTGGGAAACTGAGGCGTTTATTTCAATTAAAAATCAAAAGAAAAATTAAAACAGAAATATAGGACAAAATTAATGTGCTTGGTAGTTTTCCATGAAGGGTGGAAAACAGGCATTAGGCCAGTGATTAAAATATGAAGCTGTTTTGAGGGAGAAAACAAATAACTTCAGCCTAGCAAAGCTAGGATCCCTCTAGTCCCCAAAGGGAGGAAGGCTCCTCTCTCTTTCCAAGGGCCATACAGACCAAGGGCCTAATCCAGTGGACTAAACCAGGCCCCTGATATGTGTTGCCCTTGCTCCAGTGGATGTTGATTTATTTTTTGTTTTAAACACAAAATGAAAACTGGAAAGAATGAGAAAGTCATGAACCGGTTCTTAATTTTGAGCTTTCAAGTGGGATATACAAAAATGGCAAAGCAATGAGTTAAGGTTGTTTTTTCAACTTGGGCTTCCTCTGTTATGGAAGGCTGTCGTTGCATAAAGACCTGCAAACATGCACAGTGACTCTGACATGTACTTCTCTTCCAAAATTTCAAGAATCCACCTCTAAGGAGTTTCCTACCCATCCCGTTTCTAGGCTAATTGCCAGGACATTTAATGCAATCACACTGCTAGCATTTTCAGTAGAAACAATCAGTTCAATATTTTTCGTCTTATTTTGGGGAAGGGGGATTTTTTGGGTTGGATTATTTATTTTTAGACTCCTGCACTACATCTTTCAAAGTAATTTGTTTTCTCCCATTAATAAGACAACTTTTTTGCAAGACTTTGGCACTAGAGAATTTAAGGGAAAAAAAAGAAATTATTTCTATGTGAATGTAACATTATTGTACTCCCCCCTCCCCCCCCAACAATAAACACTGTAAAAGCTGACATTTGCTTGAAATAATGGCACGGCAACATCGATCCAAACTCAAAAAGCGCTGGTTTACCCCAATAGAGTATCTGCTCCAGTAAAACCATCAGCACCATCGGCTCTGACAGCTTCCCTTTTTCTTCCAGCTCCAAGCCTCCACTCTTACTATTCTCTTCAGCATGCGGGAAGCCACATAGCAGCTGACTGTCTTGACCTTGCTTTTGAGCCAAAATCAACACATCAAGAAAGGAGTTCAATAAGGCAGTATATCCACTCCAGACTGATAGCCAGAACATCTACTCTTGCTATTAAAGACCTATTGATCGGTCAACAGAAAGGCTGCTAAAGGCCAGCAGTGGGATCTAGCATATGTCCAGACTCCCATTTTCACCTTCATAACACTCCCATACTACTTTGAGATGTGTGATGCTTATGCAAAGACACTTCATAAGAACCGCAATGTATGACTGAATCTTAGCAATTTAGGGTGAGAACAATCTCTTCAGCTTCTTCCGCTGTAAAAAAGAATGGATAAAATGAGTTTCACCTAATAGTTTTCATTGGAGTCTCTCTCAAACTGTTGCCAACCACAGCTAATGCAACTTCTCTCCTTTAAAGTGGTTCATGCCGCTGTTTTGTTTCACCTTTCATATCTGTACGAAGAGGCAACTCACCTAAAAAATTCCATGTTCTCTAAAAACCATAGTGCATGTACTGGCTCCTCGGTCTGATGTGCTGAAGAGTACTATTGCATAAGAGATTTAGGGCAGCAAGCAGCAGGAGAGTGGCACTGCATTTATATTTTAATTAGCTCTTGCTAGGAGTTCCTTCAGAGGTAGGTTATCTAACCCTTAATTACTATTTGTCCACCTACATTATTAAAATCTTACCCATGTCCTTCCATTTGAAGGGCTTCTTGTACCTCCTGAAAACGGTATTGTTAAGATTGCATATAAATAACTATTCTGAAATAATCCCAAGTAATAATTTTATAAATCTGTTAAGCACCAATGGTAATTACAGAACTTTAGCAATAAAAAGTAAAAAGTTGGGGAAAGTGTTATTTTAAGGCACAAATAAAGTCCTCTGGAGCCTGTCTGATTTCATAAATTTTCATTATTTGTGGAGTCCTTAAATATATTTTCAGCAATTGCATTCTTTTCTAGAAATGAATTCTCAAAATGTCATGTTCTGTGAAAAAACCCTACTGTTTTATTAATACCCTATTCCACATCACACTGATTATGTTAATAAGAATAAATATTTTTGCATAAATACATACATCTGATTTTTTCCTACAGTGAGAATACATTATAATCTTGAGATGTTTCTTATTTCTGGAAGTATTAATATACCAAAGGAACATGACAACTTTGAAGTAAACTAGCGCTATGTGTACTTCTGAGGTACTTCACTAACATACGTAGATGTATCTGGCACAGAACCTTCCAATACGGCAATGAAATTGGAAAGCCTTCCTGGAAATACAATAATTTGGCAAAGGGTTTCTAATGATTTTACTCACATCCCTTTGCCAATGCTGGGGAGATAAAACCACCATGAGACTATTTAACATTTGATTGCTTGTTTGCTCCTGGAGGGTTCACGTACCTGCCAGTGCCAGTCTAGACCACGCTGGCAGCTCTACGAACAAAAGGAGGGATTCTGGTAGAAATAGATTTTTATCAGAACTGACAGGCATGCAATACTGAGGCTGCTCATGCTTCACACAATATATATTTTTCTACTGAAAAGGAGCTGGAACATTAATGAGATAGTAACGTTGTTAACTGTGGCTGTGAGCCCACAGCGCTTTCACACTGGAGTAACCCTCACTCAAGCAGCCAGACTCACTGAACCCAATGAGGTTGCTTCACCAGGACTGAATGCCACGCAAGTAAAAACTCCCTTTTAAATTATTGTGTCCTTGCAATTCTGATTCACATGGGTAAAAGGAGTTTGCCAGATTTTGCCCTAATTTTATTGCCAAAGAAGAGCTCAGTGGTTTGGGTATTTTTTCCTGTTAGAGACTTACTACAGAGTTTCAAAGGCAATAGCCTGAGAACGTGCTTTCTTCTCACTTTTAAATTGGAGAGCATATAGCTACAAATCCTGAATTGGATGCTTTAACACTTGAATAGTTTTCTAAATTAAAAATAATGGATTCCTGGCAGGCATCCTACCCCAGTTTACTCACAACATAGATTTTGTTACCCCAGTGTCACTGATAGTGATTGTAGCTGCACAATGGTCATAAGTCAGAAAACAGTCTTTTGATGATGACTGAGCCACTGAAAATGATTTTTTTCATAACTAATTTATTTTAGAAAGAGAGGCAATGCTATTTATGTCATGCAAATGACTTAGAGAAATAATGCAAATGACATTGGACATTAACAAGCTCATTATGATAATGGCAATCTTGAATAACTTGTAAGAGAGTTCTGCAAGTTCCACTGTTATGTTTGGCATGATGATAAACTTCATAAAAATCTCGTGATCATTTCTCTCCTCCTTTTCATGACATTCATCATATACAGATGCCGTACCAAACCATTAAGATGCAATGCAATTTAGATTATTTCACAGAGAACCAAAATTGCTTAATTTATACCTTTTATCGTTGTAACAGAACTAGATGTACTGGATTCTTAAGCCATTAAACCCACCTCTAGAGCTCTGCCTCTAAAATAGATTGCTCAATTAAAAAGACTTACCTTTCTTACAAAAAATAAGTCTCCATTTTTGTAATAATATCTGATTTTCATTCTTGCTGCAAACTAGAGATTCTAAGCAATCACAGTGTGCAACATAAAAACTCCGAGTAAGGATGGCTCCGCTATAATATGCAATATTCAGTTCCAAACTTTTATTAACTGGAGAATGCACAGCGATCTGAATCTGTGTGTAGTTAACATATCTGGCAGTTTCTGTAGCTTCTGTTTCCTCCCCCACCCCCTCAAATGGCAAACCAAGACTTGATCAAACACGTAAAACATACGGTACCCTGAACACACTCAGCCCAAGGAAAAAGGCATAGCGGTAAATTACCTTAAATTCAGTTTCAATGTTGGCTAGTCTGGCCAATTCATTGCTTAGCTCTAAAGCAGTAAGGACAGGGTCTTCACTGGAAAGAGACAAATAAGCAGCACTGGCTAATCCTTTGTAGGCATTCATTCTCGATCGAGAGTGACTAAAGGAATCTTTCCTCTGCTTCTCAACACATTCATTGCACTTGCAAAAATAGTCATGTGGCCTTTCAATCCGCGCGCCTTTGAGAAGTAAGATGTGGACAATTTCATACTCCTGGCAGTGGGCAGCAAGTATGATAGGGGTAATGTCGTGGGAGAATCGAGTTCCATCTTCATCGTAGGCATAAAAATCATCATCTCTCAGTTCCTGCTCAAGGGGGCTGAGTGTGAGACGCTGTCCTTGGGCAAAGGCTGGATGGTTCAATATTGCTTCTACAATGCGCACGTATCCTTTACTGATGGCTAACAAAAGTGCATCTCCAACTCGAGCGAGATTCTCCTTTTTGAGGAGGAGCTCCGTCACTTCCAGATGCTCATTCCCTACAGCTAACTGTAGGGCGTTTTGTCCCATATAATCGACGCAATTAAAGTTCAAGGTTTTGGATTCCTCCAGCATTTTTCGCACAACAGGAATGTTGCCATATTCTGCAGAATCGAGAAAGCGTTCCTCTTCTGCAGTCAGGCTGGTGCCTTTCTCATTGAACATGTAGGCCGGGCCCCGGATGGCCTGCCTCCGGCCCTTCTCCCGAAGGGTTGTGTGCCTTCGATGCATGTTTTTATAATTGCTGTTTCTCAACCTGCAGAAAACCGGAAAGGAAGGTTGGTTATATTCTCGGAGAGTCATAATCTCACATAACCTGAAATAAAGTTAGAAAGGTCTCATTATGATCCGATCATGCTAGCTTTTTATGATTTGGGCCAGTTGTTTAAAATCATTTAGGATACATGTGGAATGAAGATTAGTTTTCTGAACAACAGACAAGTTCTCTTCTGACTTGTACACCCTTCTGGATTTCAACAAGGATACGCAGAACATTCTTAACTTGAGAAATAACCAAAAAAGCGTGAACACATTGTTTTCCATTTTTATTGTTTAGAACTTCATTACACAGTATTTAGGAATGATATCCACAACATAATGATTCTCCTAATTACTCTTCTTGAGTTTTATCCTTGAGGGCACAAAGCAAGCTAAAGAAAGTTAGCAGAACTCCCCATGCCCATATTCCTTGGATCAGGACAATGAACTATGTTCCATAAAGTTAAAAAGCATGCTTCTAATTTTAAACACACAAGGATAAATATATGGCATATTCTGCTAAGAATCAGCTGGTACAAGCAAGCCACCTATTTATTCACTACTTTTTTCATGCTACATAATACCATTTTTCTGTTTCCTGATCTAGAGCAGTTTAATGAATGACTGCCTAATTTTCTCACTGAAATACAGTTGACAGCTACTCTAAATACAAGTACCCAAATCCAGGGGCCAGGCTTGTAAAACACAGGGATAACTCCTGATTTAGAGTCACATCGCTCCCCAGTAAGCATCTTTCAGACAGCTACTGCAGAACGACAAGAACACAGGTATCTGACCAAAACAGAAGGCAGATCAGAACGGGTCATTGGTTTCCCCACTGATTATGTGGCTGAAATGCCTTCACCTGGAGTTGGTGGGATGGAGAAAAACTATCTTATTCTACCTTCTCTGGAATAAACACCCAGTTGTATGAAATTAACTGAAATCCTAAAATGATCTATCTTCTAGAAACATTCATACTTTGCATTCAGTCCCATCTCAGTGTTGCTCTTCTTTTTTCATTTTATTGCAGTAGCATCTCAACAAAATCATAGTCCCTCTTTTAGAGTCTAACCACGGGGAGTTAATTGCCATCCCAAGCCCACAGAAGGTGCAGCCTGAGTAAATAGGTAAACACAACACCTCTCACAAAAAAGCATTTGCACCCAATCCAATAGCAAGTCCTAAATCACTTGGGTAAAATTTTCAGGAGCCTCTAAGCTGCAGTGGGCAGATGTAACAAATAAGCAGGTGTTAATGCTCAGTGGGCGGCAAAGGTTCATCTTTCCACGCTCCATCTGTTCTCCAAGTCAGTTTTGACCTTCAGTCAATGAAAAGTTCATGTGTTGCTCTGAAAAAGATACTACTGGAGTTTGAAAGTGCTGTCGTGAATGACGAGAGGGAAAGGTGCCAGGAGACAAAGTGAAGTAGATACATTGCCTTGAATAACATGTTCCTCAGGAGAAGAAAAGAGTAAAGCAATCAAGCAAAAACCCAGGAAAACAGAGGGTATCAGAAACGCCCAAAATACCTGAAGTGCCAGGACACAGAAAGTCTCAAGGCAGCTGTTCTCATGGAACTAACATGTACATACGCATCTATCATTTTAATTCATCACTTTTTTACTGATCTAGAACAGAAACTCCGTACTGAAGTTTCAAACAAATTTTACAGCAAGTTTTTAGCAGCTACATTAAAATTTAAACACATCCTAAGAAAGCGATTTTGTGACCATACAAAGTTGAAAGCGAGTTTCATAATTAAGAACCTCTCCCCCTAAGCTTTAATGCATCAGTATAACAATTTAATAAAAGCTGGTAGAAACTGAACATATCACCCCATGCTCCACTGAGAGATGAAGTGCTGTATGAATCTTAAAACTAATCCTTTCCAGCGTGGCTGAAAGTTGAAGAAGAACACAGAGGTGAGGGACATAAGAATAATGAAAGAGGTATGGTTAAGTAAATTAATTCCCAAAGCTGCATCAAGTTTTCTGCAAGAGAAAACAATAACAGCTAAAAAAATATACCGTTAACGTATCTAACACTGACAGGGAGACAGAGGTCTCTAAAGCAGCAAAATGCCTTGGGTAAAATTGGGGCCCCTTTGAAGTCAACCGTACAAGTTCCGTTGATTTCGGTGGAGTCCAAATTTTGCAAACGCATATGCGTGCACACGCACACACACACAATCCTCCCAGCAACTATCTTTCATCTCAGAAGCAGTCCTAATGAGGCCAAGAGGACTCACATGTGCTTAAAATGAAATATTTAACCATATGCAAAAGTGCTTATCTGAACTGGAGCCCATGTCCTTAGCTATTCAGGACAGCATTTAAGTTTTAAACCTGCACTGAAGTCCTACTGAGTTCAAGTAAGGACTATACGTACAAATAAACACTTGTGAACCGTGACTTTGTTAAACGGGGACTTATAGTACCAGAAAGCACTTTACACATTTGCAGTCTTGGGATTTCCTAGATGTTAAATTAAACCTCTTAAAATATTAAACAACTCAAAAGGATGAGCTGGTGATGGCTTAAGCAACTGTTACCGAGATCAAGTGGAAAATGATCCCCCTCCAGTAGCTGCTCAGTAATGACCCATGAGCGTGGCAGGATTGCACATGCCTCAATATTTTAGGGCAGTTAATTGCAATAGCTGCTTCAAGCTGGAGGAGTTCCACTGGGCTTTGCTGATGTTCAAAACCCATACATTTTTATGTTCTAAAAATGCTGTATGGTGAAATGTTTGGCAACCTTATATTTGTTGTCATATTTAATAGTCAGTACTGGAAGCAGCTCAGAAATACAGAGCATTTCCAGTAGTGAGGAATCTAAAAGATACTTTGTCTGATGCCCAAGTATCTTTGTTCTTTTTTCTTAGAAACCTTTTCTCTCCTGATATGTTATTACCTCCAAATGAGAACACAGATAGGCGGGACAGATAACCTTACAGTTACACCCAAAGTAAACCTAAAACTACATAAACTATTACCACTGGCCCAGTTCTAAGATTTTTTTACCTGAGAAAGGAGGTTAGAGTTTGGCCTAGAGCTAATTCACGCCAGTTTGTTGTATATGTAATAACATGCCAAAAAAAGGACCTTCATTTCACTTTCTTCAATTCAGAGAGCGCTGGTTTCATACACTGTTTCTGGCAACATCAATTGCATCAGAAAAAGAGGAAACAGAAAAGCATGCCTGCCCTCCAAAAAGATAATTACTATACAACATTTATCTTACAATAAATGTTCTGCAGGGATGTCCCTGCAGCACAGAATTGATCTCCACTGCCTGCAGGTAAGGGCGAGAGCACCATAATTCAGAGGGCTTTACCTCAGATGAATTATGACCTCCAGTCTTGCTCCTGAGCAGGGAAGATCAATATCTCAGCTATTGCCCTTTATCATCTTTATAGACAACAGGAGATGAATGAAAAAAAAATATACTTTTAACTTTGAATAATTTCACGAGAAATGCTCAGCTATCACCAACTCTGGTTCCGAAAAGAAAGTTATAATTGTGTTTGACCTGAGCACTGAATCGTGATAGAGAAGTGGTAGTGCAAAGAGTAATATATGCAGCAGCTGAAGATCTTGGAAGCTGAACCCTACTGTAATGTCGTGACTGTACTCGGCACCTTTTTCTATTCTGCTTTTCAGTTATGTGCAGGCACGTTTAGAACTAATCTTGTTTACTGAGCGTGTGTAATGTGGCCTCTTAAAAAAAATAATTGTAACTTGATTACATTTATTTTAGCATTTTTGTTTAAAGGTGCTTTGCATTGAAATGACTCTATATTTGCATATTTTATTGAGACAGCTAGTGATCAAACTCATCAGGCACTGCAATTAAATATTGTGTTTTTCTAGGAAAAAATGCCAATGTATGCAGTGCTGTTGGAGAGAAAATGTTCTGGGAAAAGGAAACCAAAAATTTCAGGGCCTAAGTGTTGTTTGTAGCGAAGTGCATCCAGCTTTACACAGCTGAGGGAGCCATAAGATGTCTGGACTCCTGTCATAAGTGGAGAAGAATAGCAATTTCTGAAAGGCGATTTAGCTCTTAACAAATCATCCTCTGGGAGCATCTCGGCTTATAATTAACGTGGCTTAGAGTAGGTCCCTGCAACTTGCACTGATGGTACTAGGCGCTGAGACACTCAACATCTGGAAAAGGAACGTGGCGTAACATGAGATTTGTTCTTAATGTGGTGTCACCGAAAACACTGTTGAAGCTGAAACTCTCCTTTTTTGCAACCATTCTCTCGTGACTGGTCTGAGTGCCAGACCCCCAGGACAAGGGAGACAATGGAAGGAAACTGGGCTGCTTCACATCGAGCCTACCCGAGTCATTTCTCCTTGATCCTCCTTTCCACAGTGCTCCAGACTATGCCACGCAGGACCTTCTGCTGCCTCTCTAGTCCCACACAAGAACCTATGGAGGGGCAGGGCTACCACCCAGAGCTAAGGCTTGGATGTTCAAAGGCCTAAATGTCTTAAGAGGCTAAATTGGAGTTTTTACACATGGCTTTGAACCAGAACTTTAAAAGCGTGTAGGATGGGCTGAATAGTATCTGCTTGAGTTTTTAAAACTTCTGAATAGGTATTGAAATCAATGAGTATTAGGTACTGTGGCAATTCTGGAATTCTCAGGTGATGTCAACCTTTACTTGTCTTAAAGCCTAAAAATTGAGCAGGGCATTTACAAAGGCAGCTTTAGGAACTTATGGTCTCTGCCTACACTTTGGGTTTGCTTTCACTCAGTGCAGAGAGGTTGGCAGGAGTCTTCCTGTGCCTTTTCAATGGCCCCTTTTGTCCAGAAACTACAGAAGAAACTTAGGATAAATAACCATTACTATGCCCCATGTTGGGTAAAGCAACCATCGGAGTAGGCTTTGATGAGACATTGACTCTGTCTTATTGAAAAGGAAATTTAAGTTTCTGAAAGCCATTTTGACAGCATAACCCTTGGTTCCTGCAGAGCCTTAGAAACTGTCAGACTGACACTTTACTTACTATTTTTCTTTCTACTTACACCAATATTTCTAAGAAGAATCAGGGCACATAAAGGCTGCAGACTCCCTGAGGCCTCTTTGGAATTGCTACAGCTCTTATACATCAAATGGAGCATTTTCCTCTATTAAACCTTCCTTCCACACAGAAAACCAGATCATCCAAGACATGCCATAAATGCGAACAATATTTAAGGAAATTAAGTTCTACAAGCAGACACAAGTTGATACGGAAGTGACTCCGTTTAAAAGAGTAAGTCAAATTGTTCAGAGCAAAAATAGTAGGATGTTGCATCTTTTAGTTAAAAAATTGGCAACATATTTTGTAGCAGACTCCAGACTTCAGGTCAGGAGCGCAGACTGAACACAAACTGAACACAAACTGCACACATTTATTACCCCATACGCAATAGGCTACTCTGGAGTTCCAAATGCTGTGTAGGGGTGTCCAAAACGCTAATTCAGTACTGTTAGCAACATGGTCCTTCTCCTACGTGAAAAGTTGCATACATATCTAGGGACAATTAATAGAATTTTTTAGCTCTATTCGGGCAGATATTCATTCACTTGAAAAGTAGTTCCACAAAGCAGTTGCAGGAAGTAATATCCCCTCCCCACCATCCCCACTGCTCATACAGATAAAAGAAAATGATATTTCAAGGTCAAAGTTTGAAAAGAGCCCTCTCTCCTTGTGGAAGTGCGGGTGCAGCCAGCCAAACCACGCCTTTTCAAATCCCTTTAAGAAATGGCAGTGTGAGATACATTCAGGAAGACAGACCAGGCCTCTCATGTCATTAAAGGATGCTGATGAATGATACACACTGACACTCCCATCGTCTTCTTGTCATGAAGCATAAGGTCTGAGGCCAATAACCTAGAGATATTGAGGACAGATCACCAAATCTTTACCAGCATCTAAATTTTCATGTCCTCCCTGATCTCTGTTCGAAAGGAGGCAGCTCTGCCCTGGGGGTTGAAAAAAGGGAAATAGAACTTGGCTTTCTACCAGCTATCTTTCACAAAAACCCAGCCGCTGCTTCTCAGTAGTCTCACCCTCCCCTTCTTATAAACTAAGCATCAGCATTTTCTTTCCCATTCCAAAGCAATATCATGCACCAATACAAGACTTTTACAGCAGGAGAGACTGTAAAATAAATGCCTTGGTTCTTGTATTCAATTTCTTCTCATTTTATAATATAAGTACTGGGTTTTTTTCCCTTTCTTCGTTCCTTCCTTGCTTCCCCTTAATATATGGTTGTGAAGATTATTACAAAGGAATCATAGAACACATGTGAGATATACATACCAAAATCAAGACTATTTTTACATTCTCTCCCATTGTCTGTTCATTAACATGTTTGGCCACTAAATGAACTTCCATGACAAGAATGAGTCCTGCTTTTTCTTTTTTTTAATCTGGCTTTGGGAACCAGGAATAATTCACCCTCACTGTTGAAGCACTTCAAAACTCAGGCTCAAATCATACCGAGAACACAACAGAGGAATACCTGTTCATTCATAAATTCTTACTACTGACGAGAGCAACGAAAAATATTTCTAATTGTGCAAGCAGGGGGCAGTGTAACGCTGATTTTCAACAAACAGTTCTATTAAAAAGAGAAAGAAAAAGCTTTGAAAAGAACTGGTAATCTCGGTTCTGGCTGTATTTCATGTTCCCTTATTGCTGCACCCTTTTCATTGCTCGCTTCACAGTTATTTCAAGACAAGAAAAAACGTGGAGAGAAGGACTCCTGACAACCGTTAGACCCAGCAAGCTGCAACAGGCATGATACAGTTTCCCATATTTACACCGGTCATTTTTCCTCATTCCACCTCGACCACGCTGTGTCCAGGAAAAAAACAAACCCTTAAAAAATTCACCCAGCTACAAGAGAAGACAACAGCGTGGCTCCAAACCATGTGGCCGGTAACAAACAACAAGCCCTTTGAGGTACACCGAGACCAGGTATGTTTGCACAAATTCAAACGGTAGAAAGACAAACCAATTTCACACGCAGCCACCCAACCTCACTCACGCCAGCCCATACTCAGGCTCGTAGGAGACCGAGCCCCACCCAGACACCTCTAACCCCCACAAAACTTCCCAGTGCGTAA